ATTCGTTCTTGGTGGCGTGAGACCGGGAGGTGTCACTTACCTCCTTTGGACGTCTCCATACTTCACAGTTTCCACGAGACCCTTTTCCTCATGTTCCCTCGATGCCTCATTGACATCATCGTAAAGGAATCCTCTCTTTATATATATTTAAAAACAGTTTTCACATTTTCAGACTGTGAGGCGACTTCTCTGCTTGTTCAGTGTTGCGATCTCTTTACCTTTAGTCCGAAGGGGAAGCATGCCATATGGAGACATTGGACATCCGTAATAAAAACCAGGATTTATAATCACCAGATAGTTTCATGTCCTTGCATGATGGGCGTGTGACGCTTAGCACTGCATGGTGTTTGGGGGCTCAGTTTTCCCGTGGAAATGATCCTTTAAATTGTATTGTGCTCTCTCCTTCCTTGTCACCCAGCCTCTTTGGCGAAACCGAAGAGGCAGGGTTCATTTCTTCTGTTTTATGTTTCTGAGGTCGACTTGTAAGAGACAAATAAAAACAAGAGAAAATATATCTAGTAAAATGATGTGCATCTATGTTTGAAATAGCCCTGCGTTTGTTTTCTGACCTAGGAACGTCCTTCCTCAAAGAGAAATCCTTGCTTGGGAAGTGGCTGCGTCCTATTCTCCACTAAGGTTATAGCGCCCTCTGGTGACAGATACAAAATAACGGATTCTACAATCCTGGATTTCCTCCCACTCCACCCCATTAAAAAAAAAATAAAGATCTAATTTTATCGAGAAATCTATTTTTAACAAGAACCCACCTGGTTTTCTCCAACGGCCTTCTCCAGTGGATGACTATGACAACACTTAGGTTTTTCCAAAAAATTACTGTTGGCCCATGAGATTGGACTGACCCCTTAATCAACACTAGGAGCCTGTGTTGTCTGTGGATCATAATTAAAACTCACTGCTATCGAGTTGATGTTGAGTGGCTCGTGGATTGGAACTGCGGGCATCCCAATATAGGTTCCTTAAAGTAAGTAAGCTATCTCCATGAAAATGTATGAAGGGAATATTAAAGGATTGAGGTCAAGATAAACCCACTGATGTTGAGTTGATTTCTGACTCACAGCAACGCTACAGACAGAGATGGAAACGACCCAGGCTTTGGTCTGAAATCTGCATGGTCGGTATTGGAAAGAACCAGCAACTCCGAGGGAGAAAGCTGGCCTTTCTACTCCCAGGACAAGTGAGAGTCTAGGAAACCCACCGGGAGTCGCTATGGGTCAGGGTTGACTTCATGGCAGCGAGTTTGTTATTGGCTGGTTTGAATCATCTTTTAGAAATCTACAGCCTCGTCTTTCTGCAGAGCAGCTGGCGGGTTGGAAGGAACCACAGGGCATCACCACGGTGCTCCAGGACTCTGGGAATACTGCAAAGGCACACTGCATGGCCTTCTTTTGGGATCTGCAGGCCCGAGGAAGTTGGCCTGATTTGAATTCAGTTCCCACCTCTTGGTTCACTGTCTCAAAAACAAAATGAAAGAAAAACACGCCCAAAACAAACCAACAAACAAACCCCCAACAAAACAAAACTCACTACCATGGAGTCATTTCCCACTCTCAGTGCCCCTGCGGGACAGAGTAGAACTGCCCTTGTGGGCGTCTGAAACCGTAACTTTTTATGGGATCATGAAGCCTCATCTTTATGCAGTGGCTGGCGATTTCAGGCTGTCAACGTTGCAGGTAGCAGCCCAACACATAAACCAAATGAAAAGTTCTAGGTATTTCTCTCTCCTCCTCCAATTCTCCCCCTGCATCCTGAGCACCCCCTCACCCCAAGGCTCCCTCCATCTTGCTGTACCAGAGGTTCCCAGGCTCTCCCGAGGAAGCTTTTAAGAAATATTTTAGACCACAGGGAGAAGCCAGAGACATAGAATTTCAAAACCATCTTAATACTTTCTGATGGCTACTGTAACCAAGTGCCACAAACTGAACAGCATCAATGGCACGTGTGGGCTGCTCGGGTTCCGGAGGCTAAGTCTGAGTCCACACCTGAGCAGGAATCAAGGCGTAGACAGGTTGGCCTTCCTCCTGGCTGGGGAAGCGGGGAGGGGTTTCGATGTCTTGGTCTTTTCCTGCTCCTAAAAGCTACCTGCACTCCTTGTCATTGGACCCCTTCTTCCATCTTCACAAGCACCTCTCTGTGCTTTTCTGCCCAGGTCAAACTTTCCTCAGGCTGACCCTTTTAAAGAACTTTGCATTTACACAAGGAACCTTGGTGATGCAGTGGCTTAAGTGTTGGCCTGCTAACCGAAATGTTCAGACCCACCAGCCACTCGGGAGGAGACACATGAGGCAGTCTTTATTTTACTAAATACTACGGCCTCAGAAACCCTATCAGCAGTTATAGTCTGTCTTGTAGAGTCAGTGTTGACGAGTCAGAATCAACTAGCTGCCAGTGGGTTCGACTTGGGGATTATACTCATGAGATCTAGGATCCTCTATCTTAAAGTTGGCCAGTTTCTCAGTTCCTTATTCCATCTGCAGCCTTCATTTTCATTTGCGATGTAACGGACCACAGTCCCCGATACTGGGACTCAAGGGTATGGGCATTTGTC